TGATTTGAGTCTTCGCACTTTTCTTTTTGATGAGTCTGGCTAATGGTTTATCAATTTTGTTTACCTTCTCAAAGAACCAGCTCTTAGTTTTATTTATCTTTGCCATTGTTTCCTTCATTTCTTTTTCATTTATTTCGGATCTGATCTTTATGATTTCTTTCCTTCTAATAACTTTGGGGTTTTATTGTTCTTGTTTCTCTCATTGCTTTAGGTGTAAGGTTATATTGTTTATTTGAGATTTTTCTTGTTTCTTGAGGGAGGATTGTGCTGCTCTAAACTTCCCTATTAGAACTGCTTTTGCTGCATCCCATAGGTTTTGGATCATTGTGTTTTCATTGTCATTTGTTTCTAGGTTTTTTTGTTCAGAACTTCATGGTTGTTAAAACCTTTTTTTAAAAAATTTATTTTATTTTATTTATTTTAGGCTGTGTTGGGTCTCCGTTGCTACACGCGGGCTTTCTCTGGTTGCGACAAGCAGGACCTACTCTTCGTTGTGGTGTATGGGCTTCTCACTGCGGTGGCTTCTCTTGTTGCGGAGCACAGGCTCTAGTTGCACAGGCATCAGTAGCTGTGGCTCATGGGCTCAGTAGTTGTGGCTCGTGGGCTATAGAGCACAGGCTCAGTAGTTGTGGAACACAGCACAGGCTTAGTTGCTCCACAGCATGTGGGATCTTCCCAGACCAGGGCTTGAACCCATGTCCCCTGCATTGGCAGGTGGATTCTTAACCACTGCACCACCAGGGAAGCCCTGTTTCTGGGTATTTTTTTATTTCCTCTTTGATTTCTTCAGTGATCTCTTGGTTATTTAGTAGTGTTTTGTTTAGCCTCCATGTGTTTGTATTTTTTACCATTTTTTTTCCTGTACTTGATATCTAGTCTCATAGCATTGTGGTTGGAAAAGATACTTGATATGATTTCAATTTTCTTAAATTTACCAAGGCTTGATTTGTGACCCAAGATATCATCTATCCTGGAGAATGTTCCATGAGCACTTGAGAAGAAAGTGTATTCTGTTGGTTTTGGATGGAATGTCCTATAAATATAAATAAAGTCCATCTTGTTTACTGTGTTATTTAAAGTTTGTGTTTCCGTATTTATTTTCATTTTGGATGATCTGTCCATTGGTGAAAGTGGGGTGTTATAGTCCCCCAGTATGATTGTGTTACTGTCGATTTCCCCTTCTGTAGCTATTAGCATTTGCCTTATGTATTGAGGTGCTCCTATGTTGGGTGCATAAGTATTTACAATTGTTATATCATCTTCTTGGATTGATCCCTTGATCATTATGTAGTGTCCTTCTTTGTCTCTTCTAATAGTCTTTATTTTAAAGTCTATTTTGTCTGATATGAGAATTGCTGCTCCAGCTTTCTTTTGATTTCCATTTGCATGGAATATCTTTTTCCATTCCCTCACTTTCAGTCTGTATGTGTCCCTAGGTCTGAAGTGGGTCTCTTGTAGACAGCATGTATACAGGTCTTGTTTTTGTATCCATTCAGCCAGTCTGTGTCTTTTTGGTTAGAGCATTTAATCCATATACATTTATGGTAATTATCAATAAGTATGTTCCTATTACCATTTTCTTAATTGTTTGGGGTTTGTTATTGTAGGTCTTTTCCTTCTGTTGTGTTTCCTGCCTAGAGAAGTTCTTTTAGCATTTGTTGTAAAGCTGGTTGCTGGTGCTGAATTCTCTTAGCTTTTGCTTGTCTGTAAAGTTTTAATTTCTCCGTCAAATCTGAGATCCTTGCTGGGTAGAGTAATCTTGGTTGTAGGTTTTTCCCTTCCATCACTTTAAATATGTCCTGCCACTCCCTTCTGGCTTGTAGAGTTTCTGCTGGAAGATCAGCTGTTAACCTTATGGGGATTCCCTTGTATGTTATTTGTTGCTTTTCCCTTGCTGCTCTTAATAGTTTTTCTTTGTATTTAATTTTTGTTTTGTTTTGTTTATGCGGTATGCGGGCCTGTCACTGTTGTGGCCTCTCCCATTGCAGAGCACAGGCTCCGGACGCGCAGACTCAGCGCCCATGGCTCACGGTCCTAGCCGCTCCATGGCATGTGGGATCTTCCCGGACTGGGGCACGAACCCGTGTCCCCTGCATCAGCAGGCGGACTATCAACCACTGCGCCACCAGGGAAGCCCTGTATTTAATTTTTGATAACTTGATTAATAGGTGTTTTGGTGTGTTTCTCCTTGGATTTATCCTGTATGGGACTCTCTGTTTTCAACTATAATCTCTCTCAGTCCCTTTCTTTTTCCCTTCTTCTTCTGGGACCCCTAGAATTCGAATGTTTGTGCGTTTAATGTTGTCCCAGAGGTCTCTGACACTGCCCTCAATCTTTTCATTTTTTTTCTTTATTCTGCTCTGCAGTAGTTATTTCTACTATTTTATCTTCCTGGTCACTTATCCATTCTTTTGCCTCAGTTATTCTGTTATTGATTCCTTCTAGAGAATTTTTAATTTCATTTATTTTGTTGTTCATCATTGTTTGTTTGCTCTTTAGTTCTTCTAGGTCCTTGTTAAACGTTTCTTGTATTTTCTCCATTCTATTTCCAAGATTTTGGATCATCTTTACTATCATTACTCTGGATTCTTTTTCAGGTAGACTGCCTGTTTCCTCTTCATTTGTTTGGTCTGGTGGATTTTTACCTTGCTCCTTCATCTGTGTATTTATTTCTCTGTCTTCTCATTTTGCTTAACTTACTGTGTTTGGGGTCTCCATTTTGCAGGCTTCAGGTTCTTAGTTCCCATTGTTTTTGGTGTCTGCCCCCAGTGGGTAAGGTTGGTTCAGTGGGTTGTGTAGGCTTCCTGGTGGAGGGGACTGGTTCTGGTGGATGAGGCTGGATCTTGTCTTTCTGGTGAGCAGGACTGCATCCAGTGGTATGTTTTGGAGTATCTGTGAACTTATTATGAGTTTAGGCAGCCTCTCTGCTAATGGGTGGGGTTGTGTTCCTGTCTTGCTAGTTGTTTGGCATGGGGTGTCCAGCACTGTAGCTTGCTGGTCATTGAGTGGAGCTGGGTCTTAGTGTTGAGATGGAGATCTCTGGGAGAGCTCTCGCCGATTGATATTATGTGTGGCTGTGAGGTCTCTGGTGGTCCAATGTCGTGAACTCAGCTCTCCCACCTCAGGGCTCGGGCCTGACACCCGGCCGGAGCACCAAGACCCTGTCAGCTACATAGCTCAGAAGAAAGGGGAGGAAAAAAAAGAAAGTAAGAAAAAATAATTTTTTTAATGAAATAAAATAAAGTTACTAAAATTAAAAATTTTTTTAATTATTAAAATAAGAAAGGTAATTAAGAAAAAAGAAGAGAGCAGCAAAATCAGTAAACAAATCTACCAAAGATAACAAGTGCTGAAAACTAAGATAAACATAAAAATCAGAAACTAATCAGTCACATACAGCAAACCCCAAGTCTGTAGTTGCTTCCAAAGTCCACTGCCTCAATTTTGGGATGATTTGTTGTCTATTCAGGTATTCCACAGATGCAGGGTACATCAAGTTGATTGTGGAGATTTAATCCGCTACTCCTGAGGCTGAACAGAGAAATTTCCCTTTCTCTTCTTTGTTCGCACAGCTCCTAGGGTTCAGCTTTGGATTTGGCCCTGCCTCTGCATGTATGTCGCCCTCTGGCATCTGTTCTTTGCCCAGAAAGGAGGGGGTTAAAGGAGCAGCTGATTTGGGGGCTCTGGCTCACTCAGGCTGTGGGGAGGGAAGGGTACAGAATGTGTGGTGAGCCTGGGGTGGCAGAGGCCAGCATGACGCTGCAACAGCCCGAGGCATGCCATGTGTTCTCCTGGGGAAGTTGTCCCTGGAGCATGGGACCCTGGCAGTGGTGGGCTGCACAGGCTCCCTGGGGCATGGGTGTGGATATTGACCTGTGCTTGCACACAGGATTCTTGGTGACTGCAGCAGCAGCGTTAGTGTTTCATGCCTGTCCCTGGTGTCCGGGCTGATAGCCGTGGCTTGCACCTGTCTCTGAAGTTCATTTAGTCAGTGCTCTGAATCTCCTCTCCTTGCGCACCCCGAAACAATGGTCTTTTGACTCTTAGGCAGTTCCAGACTTTTCCTGACTCGCAGCTAACTGTGTTGCACTAGCCCCCCTCAGGCTGTGTTCACACAGCCAACCCCAGTCCTCTCCCTGGGATCTGACCTCTGAAGCCGAAGCCGAAGCCGAAGCTCCCAGCCCCACCTGCCCTGGTGGGTGAGCAGACAAGCCTCTTGGGCTGGTGAGTGCTGTCGGCATTGACCCTCTGTGCGGGAATCTCTCTGCTTTGCCCTCTGCACCCCTGTTGCTGTGCTCTCCTCCGTGGCTCCGAAGCTTACCCCTGGCACGCCCTGTCTCCACCAGTGAAGGTACTTCGTAGTGTGTGGAAACTTTTCCTCTTTCACAGCTCCCTCCCAGAGGTGCAGGTCCCGTCCCTATTCTTTTGTCTCTGTTTTTTCTTTTTTCTTTTGCCCTACCCAGGTATGTGGGGAATTTCTTGCCTTTTGGGAAGTCTGAGGTCTTCTGCCAGCGTTCAGTAGGTGTTCTGTAGGAGTTGTTCCACGTGTAGATGTATTTCTGATGTATTTGTGGGTAGAAAGATGATCTCCATGTCTTACTCCTCTACCATCTTGAAGGTCCCTCCTCATGAAAATATTTGATGAAAAACTAATGTATTTTAAATTAATTGTATTATCAAAGTGGGTTTATCTAGTTTTTCTTTTTAATATACCAAGCCCCAGTGGAAATTTTATTCAAAAGATTATTTCTTCTATATGATGTAATCATGAATAAAACATTAGGAGACTGGCAAATTAAAAAAAAAACTACCTATTGAAAAGTTATCCACAATAGTGAAAAAATTTTCTTGTAACAAATTTCAGGATACTTTTTCTTTACCTACTCTTCTTTCATTTGTCAACCCTTTTATTTTCTATTGAAAAGTTGGTGATTTAAATTCTATTTAAAATTTGACAGTTCTTGCCTTAACTTTACGTTCTTTTTATTGCACACATATAGGAAAGAGGAAAAACTGGAATCACCTCAGTATAACCAAAAGAAAGGAATCTACTACAGAAGACAATGATGAGTAAGTTCGTTGTTGCTGAAATAATATACTCATGTGTCTTAAAAGAAAAAGGTCATATTTGTTAAAGTGATGATTTAAGATAAATCATTTCCTTGCAGAAATGAATAGTTTATACCTGAGTAGAAGTATTTTTTCTTAAAGAAGTAAAATTCTTTATTTATGATGTGTTTTGCCATGTTCATATGATGGTGATATATGATACCTTTATTTTAATACCCATTTAGCCCAGTTTCCCCAGCCTATGCTTAAGAGACTAGCTTAGGGTAAAACTGAGGGAAACACCCTCTTTGGATTTACATGGATGGACAAGTAATACATTGTCTTGGAACATAATTGCTGGTTCAAGAGCTAGGAACACAGTGAAGCCAGCAGAGTAAGGAATCTAGAGGAACCTAGAAGGCTTATCGGCCATCAGTTATTTTCATATTGGCCTGTCAAGGGTGCCTTGAATGAAGTCATTATGTGTAAAAAGCTACTGCCTATGTATTCTGGGAAGAATATTTATATCTGTCCACTGAGGCTGGAAAAATTGAAATAAGCAGAACAGGGGGTTCAAGTTTTAAAGTACTTCATATGTTCAGCTCATTTACCTTTCCAGCTGTATCTTCTGTGTGCCATACAATATGATGGATGGATGGGTAAAGATGAGGAAAATGAAACATCTACCCATTGGGAGCTTATGGTCTCATGTTGTAAGTTAATATATCTGCTCTAACTTAGAAATGGGTTATGGGTTATGTTTCGAAATGTTATTTATTTATTTATTTAAATTGAAATATAGTTGATTTACAATGTTGTGTTAGTTTCAGGTGTACAGCAAAGCAATTCAATTTTATATACATATATGTGTGTGTGTGTGTGTGTGTGTGTGTGTGTGTGTATGTTATTACAACCTATAGGTTATTACAAGATATTGAATATAGTTCCCTGTGCTATACAGTAGGCCCTTGTTGTTTATTTTATATTGAGTAATGTGAATCTGTTAATCCCAAACTGCTAATTTATCCCTCCCTTCCCCCCACTTTTCCCTTGGTATCCATAAGTTTGTTTTCTGTGTCTGTGAGTCTGTTTCTGCTTTGTAAGCAAGTTCATTTGTATCATGTTTTTTTAGATTCCACATATAAGTCATATCATATGATATTTGTATTTCTCTGTCTGACTTACTTAGTATCATCTCTAGGTCCTTTCATGTTGCTGCAAATGGCATTATTTCATTCTTTTTATGGCTGAGTAATGTCCCATTGTGTATATACACCACACCTTGTTTATCCATTCATCTGTCAATGGACATTTAGGTTGCTTTGGTGTCTTGGCTATTGTAAATAGCACTGCAATGAACATTGGGGTGCATGTATCCTTTCAAACCATGTTTTTATCTGTATATATGTCCAGGAGTGGGATTGCTAGATCATATGGTAGCTCCATTTTTAGTTTTTTAAGGAACCTCCATACTGTTCTCCATAGCAGCTGTACCACTTTACATTCCCACCAACAGTGTAGGAGGGTTCCCTTTTCTCCACACCCTCTCCAGCATTTATTATTTGTAGACTTTCTGATGATGGCCATCTGACCAGTGTGAGGTGCTTTCTCTTTGTACTTTTGATGTGCATTTCTCTAGTAATTAGCGATGTTGAGCATCTTTTCATGTGCCTCTTCGTCATCTGTATGTCTTCTTTGGAGAAATGTCTATTTAAGTCTTCTGCCCATTTTTTGATTGGGTTGTTTGTTTTTTTGTTATTGAGCCACATGAGCTCTTTGTAAATTTTGGAGACTAATCCCTTGTTGGTCACATTGTTTGCAAATATTTTCTCCCATTCTGTGGGTTGTCTTTTCGTATTGCTTATGGTTTCCTTTGCTGTGCAAAAGCTTTTAGGTTTAATTAGGTCCCATTTGTTTAATTTAGTTTTTATTACCATTACACTAGGAGTCAGCTGGAAAAAGATACTGCTGCGATTTATGTCAAAGAGTGTTCTGCCTGTGTTTTCCTCTGTGAGTTTTATAGTATCCAGTCTTACATTTAGATCTTTAATACATCTTAGTTTTGTATATGGTGTTAGAGAATGTCCTAATTTCATCTTTTTACATGTAGTTGTTCAGTTTTCTCATCACCACTCATTGAAGAGACTGTCTTTTCTCCATTGTATATTCTTGCCTCCTTTGTTGTAGATTAATTGATCATAAGTGCGTGGGTTTATTTCTGGTCTCTTCTGTTCCATTGATCTATGTGGCTGTTTTTGTGCCAGTACTATACTGTTTTGATGACTGTAGCTTTACAGTATAGCCTGAAGTCAGGGAGCCTGCTTCCTCCAGCTCCATTCTTTCTCAGGATTGTTTTGGCTCTTCAGGGTCTTTTGTGTTTCCATACAAATTTTTAAATTACTTGTTCTAGTTCTGTGAAAAATGCTATTGGTAATTTGATAGGGATTGCTCTGAATCTGTAGATTTCCTTGGGTAGTATGGTCATTTTAGCAATATTGAGTCTTCCAATCCAGGTGTACGGTATGTGTTTCTGTTTGTGTCATCTTCAGTTTCTTTCATCAGGGTCTTATTGTTTTTGGAGTACAGGTCTTTTTCCTCCTTTGGTAGGTTTATTCCTAGGTATTTTATTCTGTTGGATATGCTGGTAAATGGGATTGTTTAATTTCTCTTTCATTGTTAGTATATAGAAATGCAACAAATTTCTGTATATTAATTTTGTATCCTGCAACTTTACCAAATTATTGATGAACTCTAGTAGTTTTATTGTGGCATCTTTAGGATTTTCTAGGTATAGTATCATGTCATCTGTAAACAGTGACAGTTTTACTTCTTTTACTTCATTTCCAATTTGGATTACTTTTATTTGTTTTTCTTCTCTGATTGCTGTGGCTAGGACTTCCAAAATTATGTTGAATAAAAGTGGCAAGAGAGGGCATCCTTGTCTTGTTCCTGATCTTAGAGGAAATGCTTCCAGCTTTTCACTGTTGAGTATGATATTAGCTGTGGGTTTGTCATATGTGGCCTGTATTATGTTGAGGTATATTCCCTCTACGCCCACTTTCTGGAGAGTTTTTATCATAAATGGATGTTGAATTTTATCAAAAGCTTTTTCTGCATCTATTGAGATGATCACATGCTTTTTATTATTCATTTGTTAATGTGGTGTTTCATGTTGATTGATTTGCTGATATTGAAAAATCCTTGCATCCCTGGGATAAATTCCACTTGATCATGATGTATGATCCTTTTAATGTATCATTGGATTTGGTTTGCTCATATTTTGTTGAAGATATTTACATGTGTGTATTGGCATGTAATTTTCTTTTTTTGTGATATGTTTGTCTGGTTTTGGTATCAGAGTTACATTGACTTCATAGAATGAGTTCAGAAGTGTTCCTTCCTCTGCAATTTTTTGAATGGTTTCAAAAGGGTCAGTTTTAACTCTTGTCCAGATGTTTGGTAGAATTTGCCTATGAAGCCATCTGATCCTGGATTTTTGTTTTTTGGTAGTTTTTAAATTACTGTTTCAATTTCAGTAGTTGTGATTGGTCTGTTCATATTTTCTATTTCTTTCTGGTTCAATCTTGGGTCTGAGTGTTTTTTAAATCATTTGAGTGAACCTTAGAATGCATTTTCCATACAAATTGTGTTGTTATTTGTGGTTATAACCTCAAGTCAGGGCTACAAGTCTATTTTTTTCATAATGTAGGTGAAGTATAGTATTAATCAGTAGTAGTCTAGATAAAAAGATATGGAGAGTGCCACTTAGAGTACAGTAGGGACAAAGGGAAGAGTTTTCTCAAAGAGGTGTCCTTCTTTGACAGCTTCATCTATCACCTGTACCCCTTTATCTGTTTATATAGCTGCTTTCCCTAGCCATGCTCCCCCCAGTTCCAAATATTTTCATGTGCCCTATCCCACAGATATTTTTGTTGTCAATTACCATTCCTCCTTCCTCTAACCAAAGTTCCAATTTCCTTGGTGAAACCAATCTCAACTAGATATTAAGTGAGAAGCATTATTTTTTTGTTTAACTCATTTAATATATTTTGAAAGAGACAGTAGATGTACATAATAAGAACTCAAACTGTACAAAGGGGTATATAGAAAGCAAGTGGCAAGTAACAATTTTTGAATCACATATAATCTTGTGTTTGAAAGCAGTTACCTGCTAAACCAAATTAATCTCTGATACAGTTGTATGAAGTATAACAAACTTAGAAGTAAAAGTAGACAGGAAATGAGAAAGTATTTTTGGACAGTAGTGATATCATGTAAGCAAACCAGACTTACCTGTTGCTTTCCCCTGAATCAGCTCCACTCAAGCTATCCTAAGTTTTCATAGTGTTTTTCCTTTTTTCTTCTGAGCCCATCAATCTGCTTACAGCTTGACTTTTTTTTTTAACTTTTTATTTTATATTGGAGTATAGTTGATTAACAATGTTGTGTTAGTACAACAGAGTGATTCAGTTATACATATACACAGTAGCTCCCATAGCAGTGAGCTTTCAAGTAGCAAGGGAGGAGCAAGAAACTTTGTTATGGGTCACTTAGGAATTTGCCAGTATTTATTTAATTTCCCTCAATATTTGTTTCTAAAGATCCCTGTTATTTATGTATATCACTCCATGACTTGGTGTTAGAATTAATGAATTTAAGTACAAGCCAAGATATCTTACAATGTATAAAAATTATGTGTTTCTGATTGTTTTTTTCCACCCATCATAAAATTACTCAGACCTAGTCAATAGAGCTGTTTTATTAGCTTTAGTAATAAGCTCTTTATTTATTCCATTTGTTTAGATTTGTTTTATTATTTTGTAAAACCATTCCAAAGACTTGGATTTTTTAAAACCTGAAATTAAACTGAACATTTTGTATTTTTAGATCAATTTTAAATGATTATAACATTTTATGTTTTGTTTTGGCAATTGCATTAGGTTGTGGTTTTCCAGAGAAACAGAACCAATAGCAAATGTACATACATATAGTAATATAATAATAACAATAAAAATTATTAC